CTAAGTATCCAATGAGCCAATTACGAGTACTGCCTGTCTCGCCCGTTCACCCTTTTCATCGATTTACGAAAATATTTAATGTTATCCTAATTTGCTGTTAAAAATAACACCATCTATATTTATAGCACTAGTAAAAATACGTTTTTTCCTGCCAATTCAAGGGAAGGTGAAATCAGGACTAGCAGAGCCATCTATGGACAGAGATATTTCACAAAAATATAAAAAATGAGTACTGCATTTCCCCCATTTTTTGTTCATTTCCCCCGGCGGCAATGGGTTAAGATGTTGGACCAGCATCTCTCCCCAGATCCACTGCAAATCCAGTGAGGATTTTATATTGAAAAGGTTAACCCAATGGTACTGGGGAAAATGAACAAAAAATGGGGAAAATATTGTGTCCACTTTCTATGTTTTTCGTGAAATGTCTGCCGATAGATGGCTCTGCTAGTGCCTGATTTAAATGACGGGAAAAACATATTTTTCACTAGTGCTATGAAAATTGATGGTGTTATTTTTATCATAAACATTATAATTTTTATATATTTTTTAACATTAGTAACAGCAAAATAAGATTATGTAAAATATTATGTAAATCAAAGAAACGGGTAAATGGGCGAGACGGGCGGTGCTCGTAACTGGCTCATTGGGGTGTTAGTACAAGTGTTGCCATCTATGCGTAAAAACAATCAAACAAGTACTCACTGTGGGCATAGCAAGTACGTACATGTCATACCCGGCACCAAGGGGTTAAAAATATATATATATTTTTTGCAATACCATAAGCTTTCCAATGGATCCACAATGTAAAGTGGCTTCTATCATTCTGGGATAAAATGCAAAATTCCATGAAAAAGAATGCAAGACAATAGCATTAATTACTATGATTTTTAGAGGACTAAAGGCATTAAATCTTACAAGAAATGAAATATACACTATGGTATGTATACATTTCAGAACTAACCTGAACTTCTCTGTGCTTATTTCTTCTTTGTGTTTTTCTTGTTTTTGTCTTTTCATCTCCTGTTGCTTCTTTCTGTGCTCTGAAATCATCTCCTGCCATCCCAGCCCAACTCTGTCTGCCTTCAGCTCCACAGCAATTGGTTCTAGTTTTCCCTGACCTAAAAAGAGAAAAAAGAAAAAAATCCATACATAAAAAATCTGAAATCTAAAACTTAGAAGATATGACTTCCCTTGACCTGGTGACATCTTAAATCTGTCTTTCCGAAAGTTTCTTTACACCAAATATTGTCTCTAAGCTGTCTTTTCTTTAACTGGTACAAGCAAGGAAACAGGGCTTAAGATCAAGAACATTTTAGGCAAAAAGTGCTTACTCCTCAATGGTTAGGAATTAGCACTAGCTGTGAATTAAGACGGCATATAATATCTAATTGTATACATGTCTGATTCTCACTATCTATCTCTGCATCATGTACAGCTTAAGGTAAAATGATTCATTTCTTTTCAGGGCATACTATGCAAACCCAGCATTCAGTCTCAAGTCAATAAGTATGATTTACCGGAGAAGTTTCATGCTTCAGTTTCGAAACAGAATACATACCTTGCTTTCCAAGACTAGACCCAGGCTTATATCCCATTTTTTGAAGCATTGAAAACCCTTTGTTTGAGGAGTCCAATGCTGTATTAAGGCCTTCCTGCAGCCGTTCTTGCTGGACTTGTTTCACAGGTTTGAATCGTTCCCGATTTGACTCATTCTTATGCTTTCTCTGTTTCTCTATTTGAGCTTTCCTCTTTGATGAATGTGAAAAGAGCAATCCAGGACGTACATCATTATTACCAACACTAGAAAAAAGTAAAATGTATTAGATACAAAAGAATAAGAATAAGAAAATTATGATCTGTGAAAACATGAACCAGAAACAGTAATGAAATGAAAGATATGGATACAAGTTAAATTATAATATTGTACCAAGATTATTTATCAATGATAGCTTTTTGCAAGCTAAGGAAATGGAGCTCAGCAGTGACAAAATATAACCCCATAATGATTCTTGGTTCTAAGATTAAGCCCTTGTATGTGCATGCCATGGCATGCCTGGATTCCAGTCTGCGTGGCATGTGCATACATGCCATGGTATGCCAGTGCCATATTTCAGGGGCATATAAGGTCATGCTACAAGTTTTTTGTTCCAACTATTGCAAAATATGAGATTTTTGCAGTAGTGGCATGATGTGAGTGTGTGTGTAAGTGTGTGCATATGAGCAAGTGTGTGCATGTGTTTAGGGAGAGTGGGAGAACGGGTGAGAGAAGGGATGGGATGGGGGAGGAGGGAGTAGGGGAGGTGGATAGAGTGACATAGATGTGCAAAAGGTTCAGTTATGTGAGGGATTGGGGGTGGGGGGAGATAGAAAAGAAAGTATATAAGGTCATGCTACAAGTTTTTTGTTCCAACTATTGCAAAATATGAGATTTTTGCAGTAGTGGCATGATGTGAGTGTGTGTGTAAGTGTGTGCATATGAGCAAGTGTGTGCATGTGTTTAGGGAGAGTGGGAGAAGGGGTGAGAGAAGGGATGGGGGAGGAGGGAGTAGGGGAGGTGGATAGAGTGACATAGATGTGCAAAAGGTTCACGTTATGTGAGGGATTGGGGGGTGGGGGGAGATAGAAAAGAAAAAACAGACTAAACCAGATAAGACTAGACCAGCTTGGGGTGTTGGGTTCAAATAAATGATAGCTTTTCCTGATGGAATGTGGTATAACGAAAGACTCACTTCTAAACTAATAAATGCAAATGTGTTGTGGCTTGGCAAGTGCTCGGCTTGACCAGATTAGATTGGATACTAACGCGAACTGTATACATATTATTAATTTGATACCAAAAAATTGGGAAAATTAGAAAGGAAAATTCAACAATGCAAAATATTTGAGTATTGTTTCAATATTCTATTTACTTCTGATGAAGGTATGGTAAATTAAAAATAACATGTATGATCTTCAAGAGAAAAGAAAAAGTAACACCTTTGTCACAAAATCGACGTAAAAAACTTACAAGCAAAATATAATCTGCTAAGCCTCCCAAGTTAATAAAGCCCTCATTTCAAAATCCACAAGTCTTTGCTTCAAAACACATGGCTCCCACATTTTATGTTCAAGCAATGCAATGGTCAATACTCCAACACTACATATATTTTGGCAAGATGAAAATTGTAAACTTCTGCTATGATTTAACATCACGTAAGAAACAAGTCCAGGTAATTTGTGACAATTTTGGTATCAATGGATTCCTTTCACTCTCTACTATCTAATATGTCATAATTATGCAGTGAAAACCCCCCCATGAGTGACAATATTAGCCCTGATAGCAGAGGAGCGCACGAAAGTACCAGGGAAATTGCAGGGTACAATATGAATAATGTACGCAGAATCATTCCTATATCCTCTAATACAGGGGATTGTGCCCCCTATGACCGCCCCAACCAACCCCCGCAATGGAAGGCAAATAATCCTCAAGTATCTATTGCAGGCCAGAGTGTGTGAACAATATGCGGGAATGCCTGATGCCGAGTCTGTCTGACATGCTATCCTGCCATGAATATGTGGAGATCCTTTGTTTTACTTGGTGGGGGTTGGGGGGGTGGTAGCAATTTCTCTGGTACATTTATGCCCTCCCATGCTATTAGGGCCAAGAATATCAGAGTTTGTGTAGGTAGGTTGCAAAATTTTGAGACTGAAGTTAAGGCATGGAATCAATTTATATTTTGGTTAAAAAACACTTAATTTGATACATGATTCACCATCATACGTCCAGTATTAAGAAAGTTATGGTTCTTTAAGTATTTGAGAAATGGCACCTCTGCTCACTATTTTTCCATTAAGTTAAAAGAAAAGCTGTGATCACGGAAAGCCATTTTCATGACTTATCTGTCAGACAAAAGGCACATGGCAAACACGTGGGTTTGTTTTGTAAACAGAGCCGATTAGCCAATCAGATCTTGCCAAGTCAACGAGCCAAGTGATCAACCCTCTACTGCATAATGAATAAATGATGGCACAGGTTCAGTTCTGGATTCTAACTTTAAGAACAATCAATTAGATTTTGATAAAACTTTACCAGTTTGCAGATAAATCATCAGAATAAAGGTCCACTAACCTGTTAATATGCATGTCCAAAGCCGAGAAAAAGTCTTGGAAGGGGATGATTTTCAATATTTTCAGAGATTGTACAAAAATAGAAATAGACCAGGAATCAATTGAAAATGGAGGACAGAATGGGGATTCCCAATGATGTCACAGAAGAAAACACCTAAAATAACCAATCAGAGACTGCATATAAGCAATTTTAGTGAGAATGCCCGTACCACTTCACGGGTTGCCGCAAGCTCACCTGAACGGACTAAATGGCAGCCATGAATCTCGGGAATTGCAACATTAAGCCCCAGAACCTCCCACAAACTTTATGGGAGGTTCTGCAGCATCATCCCTACATAAACGTCAATTAGAGAGTGAGAAGAATCCATTGATAACAAAATCAGTTATGCAAAGGTATCCCAGTAAATTGCCCAAGTCCAAGCTCCATCTTTCCAGAATATATCCAATGGGGGACAGGTAGCCTCTGCTGGAGCTTAAGGCATTTTGTCCAAGTTATAGGTAATTATCTTTCTCTTCTTTATCATGCACAATGCTGTTCATTTTTCTTCACACTTCTAATTTTGTTACATTGATCTCAGTTCATTTTTATTTCTAATTTTCAGAAACAATCCACTGAACGGTCAATATGTAGTATAAGGTAGTGGCAGAGTTGGGTAATAAAACCTACATGAAATGATAGAACAATGCAAAACAAGGCAAAGTTCTTCTATGGCAATGTGTGTGCAAATGCTTCCCAGGGCTGCTATACAGAAAAGAAAAGGGAAGAAGATGGGTTACTTTCGAAACAATTTTGATATTTTTCTGCATGAAATCCACTGCTTTCAACGATTCTAGGCATTGTTCCTTGTGCAAATGGGCGACCTAACCCAACATCCAACCTAACCTAACACCGTGGTATATATTCCCTGGACCTCCGGGGTAATATACATACCTAGCACCCTTGGGAAGTATTTGCACACACATTGCCATAGAAGAACTTTGTCTTGGCTTGTATTGTTCTATCATTTCATGTAGGTTTTATTACCCAACTCTGCCACTACCTTATACTACATATTGTCCCACTGAACCAAACATTATGCAGTACTAACCTTAATTTCTCTATAATAACGTAACATTAGTGGTTAAAGCCACCACATTAGACTAAATTATAAGCAACATACCACTGCGCCAGAAAATCCTCTGACATATAGTCGATTTCCTCTTCGCTGTCTCCCATGATGAACTTTTTTGTCTTCAAAACGACTTCCTCTTCTTCTTTCTTCTTTTTTAGGGTTTTTTTCTTCTTCTTTTATAGGGTTTTAGACTTTTGAAGTCTATATTCCCTGGAGCTGTGTTTCTTGATTCTTCTTTGTTGATTGAAGTTCTTTATATTATATCTATTATTTTTGATCTTTGTAGGAAGATCTTGAAGTGTCTTAATATATAGTAATTCTTAGCTGGTGAATATTCTGCACCTGTGTTTAAAAGAGACATATTTGGATTAATCATTTTTATTCTTGTTAAAGATTCAAATAGATTTTTTCGGTGAGAATTTAATCTTGGGCATTGGCGTGTTAGGTGTTCTATGGTTTCTTCTTCATGTTGGGTCTGTCTCCATTTTTATTTTATGTAGATGTTGTTTTAGTCTTGTGTGTTTTGTTTTTATACGTGATAAACAAACATCTAGTTTCATGTTTTTTGATCTTGTCCAATGATTAGGTTTGTTATCTTTGATGTAATAGTTTTTTGTGTTTAATATTTCTGTTAGTTTTTCTTCCCATGTTTGTCTGTTTTTGTTTTTTATTTCTTTTATTACGTTATTAATGTCTTTTGTTATGGCAATAGGATTTGTTATTTCATGTACTTTTTTGCTGCTTGATCTACTATTTCATTGCCGCTAATGCCTTTATGTGATGGGATCCATTGTATTTTGATGTTCTGTTTCTGTTTTGATAATGTGTGTATTGTTTGTTGTATTTTGTAAGAGATATGTTTGTGGTTTTTGGGTCTGTGATTTACTATCAATAGTAATGCTGAATGTGAATCTGTGAAGATTACCGAGTTTGATATTCTATTGTTTTGAATATATTGCAGTCCCTGTTTTATTGCAAATAACTCTGCTTCAGTGATATTTATATTTTTTGGTAGCTTCCAGATTGTAGTAATATTTGCATTTTGAATATATATTGCTGCTGAAACTGATTCTGGTTCCTTCATTTTTGAACCGTCTGTGAAGATTTTTTGCTGTTCTCTATGTTATATTTTCTAACATTAGAAATTGTTTTTTAATTATTTGTTCTGGTAGGTCTTTTGGTTTGTTATTTATGAACTGAGTTTCTACATGTTGTGAGATATCATACCATGGTGGTACTGGGGTTATATTTTGTACTATATTAGTTGTTATATTGAGTTTTAATTCCTTACAGGTTTCTAATGCCCTGTAGATTAAATCTTTTATCTTTCCTTGGATTATATTCTTTGATATTCTTTATTACTATTTGTTTTAATGGTGTTTTATTTGGTTTCTCTAGTATTTTTGCTAGTTGTATACATTCTATTTCTTTTTTTCTTATTTCCATTGGAATTATGTTGGTTAACGCATGAAGAGATACTATTGGGGTGGGCATTGGTGTGTTAGGTGTTCTATGGTTTCTTCTTCATGTTGGGTCTGTCTCCATTTTTATTTTATGTAGATGTTGTTTTAGTCTTGTGTGTTTTGTTTTTATACGTGATAAACAAACATCTAGTTTCCTGTTTTTTGATCTTGTCCAATGATTAGGTTTGTTATCTTTGATGTAATAGTTTTTTGTGTTTAATATTTCTGTTAGTTTTTCTTCCCATGTTTGTCTGTTTTTGTTTTTTATTTCTTTTATTACATTATTAATGTCTTTTGTTATGGCAATAGGATTTGTTATTTCATGTACTTTTTTGCTGCTTGATCTACTATTTCATTGCCGCTAATGCCTTTATGTGATGGGATCCATTGTATTTTGATGTTCTGTTTCTGTTTTGATAATGTGTGTATTGTTTGTTGTATTTTGTAAGAGATATGTTTGTGATTTTTGGGTCTGTGATTTACTATCAATTGTAATGCTGAATGTGAATCTGTGAAGATTACCGAGTTTGATATTTTATTGTTTTGAATATATTGCAGTCCCTGTTTTATTGCAAATAACTCTGCTTCAGTGATATTTATATTTTTTGGTAGCTTCCAGATTGTAGTAATATTTGCATTTTGAATATATATTGCTGCTGAAACTGATTCTGGTTCCTTCATTTTTGAACCGTCTGTGAAGATTTTTTGCTGTTCTCTATGTTATATTTTCTAACATTAGAAATTGTTTTTTAATTATTTGTTCTGGTAGGTCTTTTGGTTTGTTATTTATGAACTGAGTTTCTACATGTTGTGAGATATCATACCATGGTGGTACTGGGGTTATATTTTGTACTATATTAGTTGTTATATTGAGTTTTAATTCCTTACAGGTTTCTAATGCCCTGTAGATTAAATCTTTTATCTTTCCTTGGATTATATTCATTGATATTCTTTATTACTATTTGTTTTAATGGTGTTTTATTTGGTTTCTCTAGTATTTTTGCTAGTTGTATACATTCTATTTCTTTTTTTCTTATTTCTATTGGAATTATGTTGGTTAATGCATGAAGAGATACTATTGGGGTGGATCTAAAACAACCCGTTACTATCCTTAATGCTAAATTTTGTACTGTTTCTAGTTTTTTTTTAATTCTATTTTTTTTTTTCTTTTTCTTTTTTTTTTGCATTTCCATATATGGATATTCCATATTCTATCTTAGGTTTGATATATATTTTGTAAAATTTTAGTAATGTTTCTTTATTTGCACCCCATGTGTATGGGGGTTCTTTTTAAAGATTTTATCTTTATATTTTCAATGTGCTTTCTCCAATTTAATCTTGGTGCATCAAATCTTAATCCTAAGATGTCATGTTTATTTGTAAATTCCATTTCTTCGTCATCTGTTTTTATGTTAGGTATATTTCTTATTTTACTATGTGTAAAACACATCATTTTGCTTTTAGTTAAATTTATCTTTAGATCCCATGTGGTAGCCCATTCTTTGAGATGTTTTAATGCTCTTTCTAGAATATTTGTTGCTTCTGTCAGATCTTTATTTGTGGTTATTAAGGTAATATCATCTGCATATATTACTTTATTTATGCTTCCTGGAAGTTTTAAATCTGTTATCATTATGTTAAACAATGTCGGACTTATTGGAGAGCCCTGAGGTACCCCGCTTGACATTTTACCTTTTTTAGATATTTCATCACCTATTTTTATTTGGAATGTTCTTTCTTTAAGGAAATTGTAAGTCCAATTTAATGAGTTTCCTGTAATTCCTAAATTTGATATTTTTGTTACTAAAGCATCATGGTTTACAGTGTCAAATGCTTTTTCTAAATCTATACAGGCTAGTAATGCATATTTTTTCCCTTTAATTGCGTTGTTTATGTGTGCGTCTATTACTTGTCGAGCATCTATCATACTTTTATTGGGTCTAAAACCTGTAAGGTCTTCATCTAATTTGTTGTTTATTTCTAACCACCAATTTACTCTTTTTGTTATTATATTTTCGAAATTTTTTTCCCAGGGTTGTTATTCTACTGATAAATCTATAAGATTTTGTCTCTGATGGATTTTTGCCAGGTTTATTAATTGGATTTATTATAACATTTTTGAATTCCTGTGGGTATTCTCCTTTATTCCAGTAATGGTTTATTTCTTTTAATATTTTCTGTGTTATTTTTTGTGGAGCATATTTATAATATTCGTAAGGAATTTCGTCTGGGCCATATGCTTTATTTCTTTTACTATTTCTTATTGCTGAAGTCAATTCATTAATTTTTATTTCTTTATTTAAATCCATGTTGTTTGGGAGTTTTAATATTCTCTCTCTCTCTTCATCTGTTAGTATTTTCTTGGGGGTCTTATTTACTGCATTTTCGTACTCTTTTTTGAATAGTGCTAGTTTTTTCGGCATTTCCGATACTGGGAGGTATTATTATTAGTGGAAATTTTGTTATAACAGTTTTACCTGTTATTTTTTTAAAAGAAATTCCTTTTTTTTTTTTTTTTTTTGAGGAGTTTTGAAATCTAATGTGATACAAAAAATTTCCCATGATTCTCTTTTCATTATTTGTCTTGTTTTTATTACTAATATTTTATAATCTGTTTGATTTTCTTTATTCGTTTTTTTTCTCCATTTATTAAATGCTCTATTTCTAAGTTTTATTATTTCATTGCATCTCTCATTCCACCATGGTTTATTCGCTTTGTTTTTATTAATATTCTTATCGAATTTAAAACATTGTAATCCTGTTTTTCTTAAAAGATCTATGATTTCATTTAGGGACTTTACGTTTTCTATATCTTTGTCTGTCGATTTTCTCTGAAATTTATCCCAACCCTCTTCTGTGCAGATCCATTTTTTTTTTCTTTGGAATGAGTATCTTTCATTAATTTACTATCTTTTATAATTATTGGAAGATGGTCACTTCCTAGATTTGGGCCTGTTTCTATTTCTAAATGGGTTAGTGATGGTGTTACTAATACCAGGTCTATTGTTGTTACTTTTGCACTTTAGGGATCGATTCTTGTCGTTAAGCCTGGTGGTGTTAATATAATTATATTATTTTGGTTAGTGATTTCAAAAATACTTTTTCCAGTCTTGTTTGCCAATTTTGCTTTTAATTTTGGATTCCAACTGGTATGGTGTGCGTTGAAATCTCCAATGACTATTTTTGGGTCTTCAATTTGTTTTATATAATACTCTAGTTCTTCTGTTTTTAGATTGTTGCAAGGATTATACATCAATAGAACATTGAGCCATTTGTTTTTATAATTGATCTTCATTCCTATTGTTTCTATTCTATTGCTGTATCTATCATTTAATGTTATGGATTTATATTGTATGTCATTTTTAATACAAAAAGCTAAGCCTCCTCCTATTTGATCTACCCTATCTTTCCTGATTACTTGGTAATTTTGCAAGTTAAATTTATTTTTACATTTTAGCCATGTTTCGCAAATTCCTATTATGTCCGGCTGTTCTTTGTTTAACAAGTAATTTAATTCTGTCTTTTTATTCTGAATTGATCTTATATTCCACAAGACTATTCTATTCATTAAAGTGTTTGATCAAGTTTTTAACTATTGGCATTATTTCTTTAATGGCATCTGTGATTATTTCTATCATTGACTTTTCTGAATTCATATTGGTTAGTACATTTGTAATTATGTTGGCCATTTCTTTTATTATTTCTATCCATGAGAAATCTTT